GGGGAGTATCGGCGCTCCGGTTATCGTCAAGGTGTATTGCCGTTTTTCCGCAAAAAGTTCACGCATCGTCCGAGAGATAGTGCTAGTTTCGGTACACTTCCAAAAACCCAACGCTGACTTGTGGTAATTTCCGAATGCATTGCAAAGATAGGCTTTGGGTGCATTTCCTCGACTTTTGTGGTGCCGAATTGTTTTGCGCAGGGTATACCTGCCGAGGACCGCTGGGCAGGGATTACCGGCGGCGGGGCGGGGGAAGGGGCGGGCGGCGCGCGGCGACCTGTCAGTCATACAATAGGACGAGCTCCGGGAGCACAATTGTCTACAAGTAAACCCATCGCACGGGCCGAACACCTTGTTCAAATATCAAATTAAGAACTTTTTTGGGAATAGAATCATGTAGAGGAGGTTGAGCCGGTTCCAGTAATATAAGGGTTTGTACCAGTATCTTTCAAAGTAGAAAACATCATCTGCTATTATAACACTTATTATAACTCTCATTGGACTCACAAAAGTCACATCGGCTATGTACGACCAGAATCCTAGAGGGATTGGATGTCCGAAGAGCATATGGTCCCTGAAATGTATGCCATGACATAAGAAGTTGTCCAAAACGGTGTTCAAAATAGGCCCAATTTTAAGTTGGCAAAAACAGGGAGTGGATGAGACCCTTCCGCTTTCGGACCGACCATATGGCCTGCGCGCATCTTTCCTCTGCTCATGGGTGTTTTTATTTTCGCTGTGTGATAAAAACTTTCGGAATGAGAGTTACAATAAATGAAGGAGACAATTTGAATCATGCAAACCCTCTGTCACAGCAGCCGGGATGAGGCCTCGAGCCTGAGCCGAGGCCCAGCCCAGGGCCCCAGAGCCCGGAGCAGGCCCGTCCTCGCCGCGCTGCACAGGTCGCCCGGGTTTGCTGCAGCGACAGGGCTATTGTTTGTCGTCAGCCGTCGTAAACCCATCACAGTGACCACCGTCCGCAGCCCGTCCCGACGCAGTACCGCTGTTTGTCACCGCGCCACCAGTCGGCCGCGGCCAGACGCACCGCGAGTTTTGAATTTCCCAAAATGCCCTCAAAAACGACTCTTTTTATTGTAACTCTCGCTCCGAAAGTACTTATCGCAGAGCGAAAATAAAAACACCCCTGAGCAGAGGAAGGATTCACGCAGGCCATATGGTCGGTCAGAAACCGGAAAGGTCTCATCCACTCCTTGTTTTGGGCAACTGAAAATTGGGCCATTTTTGAACACAGTTTTGGACAATTTCTTTTGTCATGACATAAATCTCAGGGACCATATGGTCTCCGGGCATCCTTCCCCTCTAGAATTCTGGTCGTGGATGACCGATCTGACTTTTGTGAGTCCAATGAGAGTTACAATAGTGGAGGCTGTTTTGGCCAATTTTAACGTTCAATACCTCAGCTTCTATTTGAGTTAGAGAGCTAAAATTTTATATTTACACTCATGTTGTGGTACAGAACAGCCGTATAAAATCTCATCGAAATCGGACAACTTGTTTTTACGAAAGGTCCCCCCTTAACAGGCCTCATAGCTACAGCTACAATGTTCAAGCAGTAGTCGATGACAGATTGTTGGTGCAAGGTATTCATGTGGGGGAAGCAGGCAACATGAATGCCAATAGAGTATTTAGAAGGACCCGCCTGCATTTATGACTTGCTTCATTCCCCATCTGGAGAGCTAATTGGTCAAGATGAGGCTGAGCACCTAGTTAGTCATGGTGCCCACACTCAAAGTACATACGTAAGTGCAGTCTACTCATCAACAAGAGAGTTGACGTTTTGGTTTCGAAATATCTAATTTATTCTGAAAGCGGCAAATATTTTTGTTTGCACCCTTCCGTCCTCGAAGGGTTTTGTTTAGTGCTACCCACTGGCAAAATTTGATTGCGCTGCACGCGCCCAGTCCGGCGCACGGGCGGAAATAGTGAATTAGAGGGGGGTGGGGGCTAGAAATTTAATCTGCCCCCCAACCTACCCCAGTTGAGATATCGACAAAATTCCTTCGGGGTCATGGGGACCTGAAGTAGAATCGATTACCGTAGAACAATCGAAATTCCCACTGGGTCACTTGTTGCCGAGTTGGCGTGGACAGCGCCCTTTCGCTCTCGGCTTTCGCATTAGCTCTCGCGTGTAGCTCTCGACTTACGCTCTCCTAACTGAATGCAGCTTTATGTTAACATGTCTTTATCTTTTGATATATTGTTTACGCACACCCAGAAAAATGAATTCTTGAATTAAGCCTAGCCGAGTGCTTGAATTGTGTACAGTTTCAATCAAGACGTTTTTAGCTCACAACAAGAATCTCTGTCTAGATTCAAGCTAGGCGTAGCGCAAGCATCGGCTAGTCTTGGTTGAAGCCAAACCCACGTTTTCCCGCCCGCCGTGTTCGTGTACGTGGTGCACGTTCTCAGGATCGCTTCGGCTTCTTCGGCTGGGACCCGACCCGAATCGGACTCCTCCGCTCCCTCTCTCTCGATTACTTGCCTAGGCGTTGTGGAATTATCGGGAATTATATTTTCTGACAAAACGGTAACTCAGTTGTCTCCCTTTCCCAAGTTTCCAGAAACTTAGTCCATCCCCTTTTAGGCCGTTCACAACTCCTGAGGCACTGATTTGGAGAAACTGGTTGCGCTCCGGCCTGGGATCGAACCCCTGCCGGACCCGGCTCACTATCCAGTGGATACGACAGGTGACGGGACCGCCGCTCTCTGCCAACCTGATTCGGATGATTCGGATACAGTCCAGCTGCTACTACCAACAGTGCGCTGGACTGGCGCGCTCCGTTGTCGAAGCGATAGCTCAGTGGGCTGAGGCGCTGGCTCAGACGGACGGGGCGTGGGTTCGAGTCCGGTCGGCCCCCTACTGACTTTTTGACTCTCGTGTTGCTCTGCGCACCGTATGAAAACAAGCCGATAGCATTCTTGCGTATACCAAGAAAATATTCTTGGATTAAGAATGCCTTGCCAATGCCTAAGTATTCTAGGAAAAAATCTGGGGATAACCAAGCGCAACTCTGTCTCCCAAACGAACAGCGTAAATATTTGGTTAGAAATAATATATGCAAGAATCAAGCCGAATTTCTTGAAGTGAGAATTTGTATTCTTGGCTTGCAATATAAATTTGCCTTGAACCAAGCAGTGTTCGTTTTGATCCAATCTAAGTAAATGAAGCCTAGGTTTTTCTTGATCGGACCCTTTTTTGGGTTTGGTTCAGCCGAGGTGGAAATTTTCTTATTTCAAGCCAATTTGACTTGATCTAAGAAATCTTTTTTCTGGATGCACTTGTGTCTTGGAGATGCTACAGAGCTTAGAAATAAAAGCAAACAATGTATTTAACTTGGGTCATAGTAAACCTGTTCCAGAATAGAGAAATAATATAAGACAAGCCGCCGCAATATTGGGCAAGCAGAAGGCATCTTGAGAACAGTGAAATCTCAGCAACGGCGCTGAATATAATGTGAAACCGAATGACACAGTGCCCCCGACGAAAAACAGGATGTTTGGATACCACAGCCCGAACAAACACCGTGCGGACTGTTCGTAAGCGTCATTTTTAGAAGTTGGTTTTAGGTTGGAATCACATCTTCACAGTTAAATTACTCGATAAGTACTTCAGAGCGCCAAATAGGATTGGTAGGGTCAGAACCAGCCTGTTCCAGCGATTCTAGCCATATACGACATGAGCCCCTGTGTTCTGGAGCCCTTTAAGTATACAGAAACCGAAAGTTATGTAGTATATCTTACCATAGAATGTAGTTTCAATTCTCTAACCGTTTCATTATGGCATAATTAAAAATAATTTGACTAGAAAGATCTAGTCCATGAAATACAATTGTATATCTCTTTCTAATTGTGAACGTCTTATCCTTTTCCTAAGTTGCGATTGTGACTCTAATATTGTTCGGTCGCTTGCAAGTATATTGCCGCTGTGAAAATAATCTGCAAGTTTAATAAACCTTGTAAAATTGCCTATTTTAAGATAAAGTGACTTCTAGCCATTCTGAGTGGACACCTTTATTTTGTGTTTCAATGATTTTTTAATTTTTTATTTTAAAGACATCAAATTGAAAACGTTATTTCAGATTTGGTTTCCTCTTGCAATATTAAAGAGAAAATGTCTCATGCTCATAGCCGATCAGAGTCGAAACGGCAAAGTTATTGGTCTCCAAACTGACAAAATGTGCCAAAACGGCCAAAGTGTGAACTTGGTGGGGAATATCTCTGCCATTTCGATTCCAATCGTCTTTGGGCATAAAACATTTTCAATTTCTTTTGTAAAGAGGAACCCGGAACAATAGTTACCTTTTCACATTTCACCCGAACCACTATCCCCCCCCCCTCTTCTTCGCGCCTGCGCCCCGCCCAAGCCAACGGCCCGGCGCCTGACAGGGTAGGCACACCGCCTACGCCTCGCTACGGAAACTGTTTGCCAATAGCTGTGTGTCATCAACTCCAAAAAGGGTTATCACGACTGCTTGTTCATAGCGAACTGGAGTCACCCATTTCTCGCGTCATGCAGTCAGTCCGGTCGCCTCACTAACTGCCGTGTACGAGAGAAATAGCTATAGAAAAATAGCGCGTTCTGCTGGAGGAGTGGAGAGCGGAGCAGCACGGCAGCAGCGCACGTACAGTACCCTTACCTCGCTATCTGTCGCGTCAACAGTTAGTGAGAGTCCACTGTACCCATTAAAAATCCATTGCATTTCAGCTCAATACTAACCTCTTTACTAAAGTTAGTGAAACGCTCCAATGTGGCTGGAATGTCCGTGGGGTCATACGACTGAAGTGAGCCGGCTTCCGAACACGTTCGGCCGAGCACCGAGAGTTTGCCGTCGATTGCAACCTCCAAGTCCCGAGATCGTATATGGGCGAATAACTTGGTGCGCTCGGACACGGAGAAGCCGAAGTCGTTAGGCTTCACCTCCGAGTAACTAGAAAAAAATCAAGCTGATCTAAATTGCCTTCTATAAGTTCAAGGTAAAAATGATGTCTCATTTTGACTAGCTAATGTGACATTGGATGGTTGATTCAGGGAGCACCCTAAAATATGGTTGATTTACAACATCATCGTGGTTGTGAAAAACAAAAATTTGGTTTCCATCACGTTGTCATTGTTGTCATATTCTTGTCATCATATTTTATGATACTCCCTGAATCAACCAAAAGCTGGTTGCCTTTGCTAATCATTTTCTGGGTGAGGGAAAAGGAAACTTTGAGAAACTCCCTAGGTGAGGAAAACTCTTCAGATTTCGACGAAGTCCACGAAAAAAAATTAGAGACTTTTCGGGTATTATTACAAAAATCATCATGAAATTGTGTCATTTCTAAACATATGGGCAAATTCTTATTTTTGTCTCCTTCTACGCTTTTCCGTTTGAAGGAAATGAATACGCGTACAGTATACACACCTCAATTTCTTGTGGACTAATTCAAGAAGCTGTTTTCGGCTGTCCTCCATAATTTGAATATTGCTGAGAAGGCCTTCTTCATCTGGAGCCCGAAAGATGCCAATACGAATGTAATTGAGCCTGAGAAATGGAAGAGTACTTTTATGAACGCTACTCATTTAATTGGCTGAGCGATAGCGAAGCCTATTACTCCAGTGATGATCAAAAAGTTTCGTGTCTGTCTGTCTGTGTGTCTGTCCGTCTGTCTGTCTGTTTGTCTGTAAACACGATAACTCGAGAACGGGTTGAGCTAGGTACCTGAAATTTTTAGCGTAGCTTTGTAGCATAAAAAGCAAGAACGGTATTGATTTTGAGCCCCCTAGCTTGAAAATTGACCTGTCAGAAGAAAAAAAACGAAAACCCCAAAATATTATTTCTATTTTTATTTTTTTAACATCATTCTAAGACGTAACTCGTGAGAGTAGAGCCCGTAGGGCCAAAATTTTGTCCGTTTGGCTCTATCTCTAACCGTTTGGTCGCCACAGGGCGATATCCACACGAAAATGACCCTAAACCATTTTAATGTTGTTTCTCAGATATTTGACAGTCTCTGGTGGGGCAACTCGTCAAAACAAAATCCTGGGGGTAAAATTTGTGTCTTTTGCAGCCAAAGGTTATCTACGACTCTGCCTTTTATCCGACTCGGGTGTCAGCGCCGCAGGCTTAGGTAGATGTATGAGAGGTGCGTCGCAGAGTAACAGTGTTTCGTGAGATATCGCGAAGCCTGTTACGCGAGACGTGGTCTGGCGTACATCTACCGAGTTGGATGAGCGATAGCGAAGCCTATTACTCCAGTGGTGATCAAAAAGTTTCCTGTATGTCTGTCTCTGTGTCTGTCTGTCTGTTTGTAAACACGATAACTCGAGAACGAGTTGAGCTAGGTACCTGACATTTTTAGCGTAGCTTTGTAGCATAAAAAGCAAGAACTGTATTGATTTTGAGCCCTCTAGCTTAAAAATTGACCTGTCAAAAAATCAAAAACGAAAGCCCCAAAATATTACTTTTATTTTTTTTATTGCCTTCTAAGTCGTAACTCGTCAAAGTAGAACCCTATGGGCCAAAATTTTGTCTGTTTGGCTCTATCTCTCACCGTCAAGTCGCCAGAGGGCGATTTTCACACGAAAATGACCCCAAACCATTTAAATGTTGTTTCTCAGATATTTGATGGTCTCTGGTGGGGCAACTCGTCAAAATAAAATCATGGGGGTAAAAGTTGTTTCCTTTGGAGCCGAAGGCCTATCAACGACTCTGCCTTTTGCCCAACTCGGGTGTCAGCGCCGCAGGCCTAGGTAGATGTATGCCAGGCGCGTCGCAGCGTAACAGTGTTTCGTGAGATATCGCGAAGCTTGTTACGCGAGACGTGGTCTGGCGTACATCTACCTAGTTATTTTCTACTATTAATATTAGCAAACTCATGATTAAAAGAAGGCAGCGCTGGAGAGAGCACCGAAAAACATATACACTGATAAACTAAGTGTTTAATTGCTCAATACTTGTAAGTGTACAACTGCAAGTTAAATACTAGCAAGTGTGCAACTGCAAGTTGAATACTTGCAAGTGTTCAACTCGATAGGTGTGCACTGGCAAGTGTGCAACTGCTCGGTTTAGCAGTTCCTACACAGTGACCATTAAATCTAAGGAAGTGTTCAACCGAGTTCTTGTACACTTGCAAGTGCACACCTACCGAGTTGAACACTTAAGTGCACGACTGCAGAGTTGAACACTTGCAAGTATTTAACTTGCAGTTGGACACTTGTTGAGCAGTTGAACACTTAATTTATCAGTGTAGGTTAGTTTTTTAGGACAGCGAAACGAATAGAATCTTGTTGCACGCGGGCGCGTCGTAAATCGTTTAGTAGTTTTTTTTTCAAGCCCGAACAAGTATTTTTCATTTTGTAAGTCCGTCCTCCTGCTTTAAAAAAGAAAAACTAGCCCACAGAGCTAAAATACACAGAATACACTCAAACAGGCAACGTCGCTTCCTCAAGTTTTCTGGCAGCCCAAGTGACCACGACAACTTAAGAAGCCACGAAACCGTCAGTGTAAATCTCACATTTTACTGAAACTCAGAAAATTTAACTTTAATTATGAAGAAGTGGGATGGCACTTGATATTTTTCTTTAACCACAAAACGAGAACAACCCCAATACAGTATGGGATGTATTGTATTGATATTTGGGACAAAAAGCAGGACAGTCTACTGCTAAAGTAAACACCAGCTGATTATGAGGCTGAGGAAAATTGGCGAGTGGCGTCCGACTTCTATATGTAGACCTTCAAATATTCCTTGTTTCTGCGAATTAGTAGATTTACACCTAAATACTCTTCCCTGTAAGCCCTGTGGACTATTTCATTTAAAATAAATATTACAATGTTTACTGTTAAAAATTGTGTTATTAAGTACAGTTTGCATACGGCCCGTCCGGTATATTTTATGTACGGGCCAGACCGAGCCAGACTGTAAAGATATAGACCGTTCCTCACGAACAGCTCGAGGAACAACTGCTCTTCGTCACGTACAAGGAATTTGGAACATTTGTATTTACAAACAAATTGTATGTATTACGAAGAGCCTGGTTGGTATTACAAACCAGGCACTTCACATTAGGAACCGGGGCTCTTCGTAGTAAGAAGAAAAAGCGTTTGTAAGATGGCTGCGTTTCTACGATTCTGGAAACCGGATTCTTCCTAATACAAACACTGCTGTTTGTGAGGTACTAACGTCAGAGCGAACTTACGTGTCGTCCTGATAGAGAAAACTTTCCACGAGCGCGACCGCTCGCCGGTAGTCCTCCACGTCCCCGGGCAGCACCGCTGTGTTTATCTTGCCCGCGAGGAATGAGAGCACCTCGTCGTGCAGGAAGCTCGCCACGGCCTGCTTGACCATGTCGTCGGCCACGACGACGAACTGCCCACGGCGCTTGACGTAGGCGTCCACCTTGGTGACGACGAGCGCGACGGACGCATCAAACTTGCCTTCTGCGCGTAGAATTCTTGCGGAATGCAGCAGCATCTTGATGAAGTCGATTCGGTCCTTGCCCTTAGTGACAGCGTAGTGCGGCGCCAGTAGCAGCACCTGTATGCACGAGATTCACACTAAATGCTTAAGGGGATTTCTTCAAATGGCTTTTGAATCGCTTTATTCCTATATTTCCAATTTAGGCCAGGTTTAGGTTTGTACTGTGCGTATTATTAACGAGGGTTTTAGTTTTAGTGCGTTTTTTTCAACACAAATCGTACGTAATATCACTTGTGTTGTAGTGTAGTATAATGTGGATATTGGGAATCACTAAATTTAATGTAGGACACTTAATGGTCAAGACCAGACTGAGGATACACGGGCTGTTTGCAGTGAAGAGGGAATGCTTAGTGCGAATAAGTACAGCGGGTTGGTGGAGTGTGAATAACATAACTTGCACTTTGAGCTAGTGTACAGAAAACTGCATTTATGTGCATGAATGATGCACCTCGCGGATAAAGCAATGTCTCATTCTGAGGGAAAAGGGGGAACTTTGAAGATAAGATGACCCTCAAAGTATATCACAAATTTTGACACCTGCTTGCGCCAATAAAAAGATCAGTTTCGTGTCTTCTCGTCGCACGCACTGTCGTGGGACGACCCAATACTCCAAAACAGCACATCAAAGTTCACAGTTCGGGTTGCGCAGCTCAAAAACTAAGAGAAACACATATAATTGGACCAACTGACAATTTGATCAGTTGTTACAAAGCGTTTAAGTACCGCCAGGGTATCCTGAAAATGTCAGACCTGAAGGTTTACTACTTGCTGCTACACGGACAAGGGACGAACAAACATGAGATCGTTTATTTAGTAAGCACACTCTATAGCAGTTTCAAATCAAAGCAGAATGGCGGGAGCAGAATTGAAATGCGAATAAGCCAAATATTTGTATAATATGTAAAAGATTAGTTTTCCTTAACCAGATTGCTTTAATCTGGCATTTTAAAGATGAACACACAAATTATTCGTTAAAAACTTACCTTGACTCGGCGGGCGTGGCGCGTTAAATCCTTCATGTAGTACGTGGTAGAGAGCTCCACGCAAGAGCCCCTCGTATCCTCGAAGCCCGGGCAGTCGTAGTAATGAGTGCCCGTGGCATTGTCAGTGATCAGCTGAGGGACCTGTAGAGTATTGATTAGAAAGGGTGAAGGATGCCGAAATCAGAAAAAGACATACATTTCTTCCCACACACTCTAAATGTAAAGGGACAATTTTATCCGTAGAAATGGAACGGATTCGTGCACATCCAGAAAGGATGCACTTTTGTTTCTAAAACTAGACAAATTGTGTGAGGCTTTACACAAATTTGTCCAAATTAAGGAACGAAATTGCATTCTTTCTGGATGTGCACGAATCCATTCCATTTCTAGGGACAAATTGTCCCTTTACATTTAGAGTGCACAAAAGGACAAATATCTTGTTTCTTTAGCATTCAAAATGGCACAACTTGAATTTGTGTAAAAAACTTCTATCGGGCAGTTGAGTTGTTTCAAAGTTGCTAAACCGAAACTATTAAAAATGGTTGAATATTTTATGGGATCCTTTTCCATGGAGTGCCTCGTAAAATTACAGTTTAATATTCTAAGGGGGCACGAGCACTTGTGGATTTCAAAAAAATAAGGTGAGTTATTGATCTAAAATTCGTATTCCTTATCGGAAATTTTTCATCCTAGTTCATTCTAAAGAGATTACTGTACTAAAAAATAAAAACTAATTGTCATCTCGATTTGTCAAGCACTGTACATTAAATCGTGCGTGCAAGCAGGAAACTTTTTAAGATAAGTTAAGATTTTCAGAGGCACACTAACTGGATTTGAATCTTAAATGTGTATGAATTGAAGCAAACGAATTTTTTGAACACATTTCTGCGATGATTCGATATTTCAAGTCATAAATATTTATAGTTGCGAATTATTTATAGTCGCGTATATTTCTAGTCGTAAATGTTTTTTTTTGATTGAGACTTCCCAGTTTATATTAGGTAAGGGGTTATTGGTGGGTTGGTCGAGGATTTTGTTTTGCAGATTTTCAAGTATATTCCTAAAAGCGATTATTTCAATTTCAATATTTAGGTAGGTCTTCTCTCTCGTACGTCTGGTAATTTGTAAAGTTACCGAATTTGAGCTGAAATTAAATTATTAGGCCCCACACAAAAATTCATCTCTGCCAAATTGAGTACATTAGATTTTCATCCATTCATCCATCCCCAGATCCCTTAAGGGGGCAGACCTGTGAATTGAAGGGTTTGGGAAAAAAGTCACCACGTAAAAACTAGACGCCGCAACAATTTAGGATTAAATGAGTATAAAGAACATACATGGACGGGACGCTAATTTTGCCGTTGGTGCGGGTGCGCGCACTCTCCAGGAACATGCCCATCTTCTCCTCCAACTGGACGATGCAGTCCTTTTCGGTGTGCACGATTGTGCTGCAACGGATTGGTCTGCGACTGTCAACAAAATTGCTACTTACTCTTAAAAGATTCCGCTAGTGGTTGACCTGTTGTTTTTTTTTTTGTTTTTTTTTGTAACCGAAATTTAGCAAGTTTTACAGTGACTCCCTAAAAAGTCGTCAGGGTCGTGTCAGTTTAGAATTTGGTGGTGGCCCAAACCCTTCACTAGGCTCGCTGAGCTGAGAGGTTCATTCCCAAAACGAAAGGGTGAATATGGCTGCTGATATGTCCGCGCCCGGCCGGTCGCTGCTGCGCTCATTAGCGATCGAAAACACACGCAGAGGCA